CAGAGCTGATCTAGGATGTTCCAAGAGAGTATGGGGGTATTGGACCACAGCTTGCCAAACACTCAACCCAGACAGAGGTCGCAGCATGACTAAGGATGTATGGAATGGTTTCTTAACTGTCTAATAAACTTTGGAAATGGGGTTTAAATGTTAACTTCTTCTGTAGCATACCACTGTATATTACCTACTGCCACTTTTAAAAACATACTTTTAGAGTAATGTCTCAGTGCTACCACCTCCTGGGAGCCAATATCAGGAGAATGTTAGTGAGTTTAAGACTAGCTTGATCTATACAGTGAACTCTAGGACAGCTAGGGCAAACTAGAGAGACTTTGTCTCAAAAAACAAAACTACTCCCCAAACAACAATAAGCAAATAAACAAAAAGAAAGGAAATGAAAACCTATTTCCTGGCTCCTTTTTCATCTCTAATTCCACCTTCTTGTTTAGTGGCTGATTAAACGTCCTGCATGAGTTTGTGTTGTCTGTATTTGGTTCTACTGTGTCCTTTGAGAAGTTTTCACAAGCAGTACCTTGGCTGTGTGTCATGCTGCTTGTAAAGAGACCTCTTCATTTGAATGTCTCCTATGTGTAAACAACACAAAATAATAATAAAAAAACCCTCCAATCTCTTTAACATATTCTTTCCTTTTCTCTATTCTGTTTTATTTCTCCTTTTATTGCTGATAGAATTCCTTACCTGAATTTTGAGTGAAAATTTCTGTTAGACTCTGCATCTCCTTCTTTAGCAGCACTTCATTGATGCTTATGACACTCAGGAAATTAAAAATCAATAACATGAATTGTAAAGCATCCTACATATACTTATGAACTAGACGTGAGCAGTGAAGACATTTAAATCATGTGTATAGATATAAACTCAATGTAATTGTAGTGATCCTGAATTTTTTGGTGAGATTTTGGTACAAATGTTACCTAAATTTTATTTAAAAATGCGTGCTGGTCCTGTTTAGTGGTATTTTGTAAGTTATGATACACTCATGTAAATTGTGATTCAGGAAAAATGAAAGAAAAATATCTGTTTCCAGATGGTTTTGCAAGTTAAAATGACTATTCTTCATTGTTATTCTTTTATCAGTATTATTCTTTACATTTCTGTCTCCCACTATTTATCATCCACACTGAATCAGAAATTGTTATATTCTAGTTGAGGTAGGATGGAAACATTTATGTCTTAAAGTGTAATAATACCTAAGTAAAATTTTAAATGTAATCATCACCTGTATTCTTGTGATTCTACATGTCCCAATTGATACTTTTTAAGAGTTGCAATTTATATACTTTGTAAAACTTGTCAACTTTGTGTTATTCATCTGGATTGCTATCTTGGTTCTGTGTACTCTGGTAGTGAGAACGTTTGTAGTTGGGAAGGTGTGTACAACAGTATACAGTTCCAAAAGTGTTCCTCTATTTCTTAACAAACCTTTCTTATCCCAATGGCTGTGAAGTTGACCAAGCAGTAATATCACTTTTAATCACATTAAAACATCCTTTGCTGCCATCTCAACAACTCTAGGAGGTAATCCCATGGTTCTTGAGTGGAGCTCCACAATTTGAATTATTACCACATTCACAATCGTGTTGATTCTGCTGGTCTGAGGTACATATTTATAGCAACACTTATTTCTGGAGTTATAGAAAAGAAAGGGCCAAACCAACAACAACAACAAAAATCTCTGGTCAGCTATGTAAACAAGCTAACATTTTGTTTTAATTAAGCTAAACAAATTTCATTCTGTCTTTTTTGTCTTTATGTAATTTTGATGGATATGTGTTCCTGCCTAATACAATGAATGCACAGAGTGATTGTAGCTAGAGGCTACACAGTGCTTAAAGTAAGATAGAAATGGTGTTGGTAAGAAAAAAAGGGACAGGGGAATACTCAACGAGTTCATGAGAATCATCAAGGTATATCATGATTAGTTGATCCCCCTATCAGTAAACTACTCTTGGGGTCCACTTCTATGTTAAGAACCTGAAATATTCTCATTAGGCAGCTTCTTCCCATTGGCCAGATGATTCTCCAGGTGATCTTGCCCTCTCACCCTTATGTTTCATGATGGTATATTTTATTTGAATAAAAATACTTTTCACTGAATGAATCAAAAATGCTCTTTTAACAGTTCATTTTGACGTCTTTGATATGTGGGTGGCTGATTTCAAATGAACAAATATAAATCATTTTCTTCTATCAGATAATTTCCTAGATGAAAAACGGAGCAATCCTAATAATTTTGATACTACTGGGTATGAAGGATATATGAGTAATATTTAAAATTTCAAAAACTGTTATGAAGTGTTAAATTTGAAGAAATTACTGATTTCCTTTTCTTCGCAAATGTCAAGGAAGATACTGAAAGCTGTATATATAGATTTGTTTAGAGCATCTTAAACTTATTGTTCTATGATGATTTTTGAAGATTTGTCTGTGATAGATGAAATACAGCATACTATACTTAGAACTGATGTCTCTATCTTTCTGCCACTATCCCACTGATTATTTAGAGTCTTTACAGTGAATATTTCATTGTAGTGGGTGATTATGTGCCTCAATTGAATGGTAGTTCATTGCCAGTTATCATTACAATGCCACGTTGATTTCTTCTTTCCATTATTAAATCCAAACCCACATTACTTTAAAATGAGCTTCCCTAACATAGTGTGGATATGACTTGTTCTGAATCTCAGATATTGAAAATTGTAATTTCTTCAAGAATCTGATTGCTCTCACTAGTAATCTGATAGAACTATAGATTCTTAACTATGCTGATATATTATTCCTCTTAGATGTGAGATGGACAGTCAGTGTTTTAAGTTACTTATGATTGTTGTGGTAATATACCATGATGAAGGCAACTTAAAGAAGAACAAATTTACTGGGGAGCTTACAGTTTCAAAAGGATAGAATCCATACTCATCATGCCAGGGATTATGGTGACAATCTACCAGGTGTGGTGCTGAGTAGTAGCTGAGAGCTTACAACTTGATCTAGAACATGAAGTAGAGAGAGTTATCTGGGAATGTTATGAGCTTTTTAAACCTCAAAGCTCACTATGACAGTCCTCACCCAACAAGCCATATCTCCTTATTCTTCTCAAACTTCTGCCAATTAAGGATCAAAGCATTCAAATATATGAGCCTATGGGGACAATTCTCATTAACCTCCAGACAAAATTTAAAAATTATTAAATGTAAATATGTACATGGCTTGAATATATGGGGTATCACAATAGTACATATACTGCAGTGGTACAGTGCTTGGCAAGCATGAATGAAACCTAGTATTTCCTCTCCAGTGTTGTAAGATTTGTGTGTGGATGTAGACCGTAGCAATTTTAATGATTATTTTTATAAGCATCTGTATTTATATTTTGTTTTGTGAAATCATTTGGCAATTAAGATTGCCTATTCTTTGTGGTTACATAAGATACTAAATTAAAATTAGTAAATATTTATTTTTTGCAAATATGTCACCTATTGTATGTAAGTTACTCTAATGGGACAATGAATAGTAGAGAAATGACTAAGGAATTACACTGTCTTTAGCAAATTTAGAATCCAAATGACTGTAAGTTATGTGATAAAACAATGTCATACATCAAGAGATAAGATTTTATGTAAGTGTTCTAAAGAAGAACCCATATTAAGTTGAAGATTTCCAGGGACTGGAGAGATTGTTAATGGTTTAAAAAGGTCATTTGAGACTTGGAGGCTTTGACATATAATATTGTTGTTTCATTCTTGGAAGATAAATAAGTTAACAAAGAAGTTTAGAGAGAACTCCAGTAATGATCTAATGATCATTTGTCTGAATATTTGGCCATTGTGGTACAAAGTGTCAGTGTGGAAAGGTAGATGAAGACTTGAAGAAAATGTCAGGCCGAGAGATTGAGGTAATCCAAGTGGATTTTAGGACTGAGGAATGTGGGTAAATGTTATCAGACAGATATTTTAAATGTAAAATGAACAAAAGAAAAACAAAACAAGAAAAACCCAGAACAACAACAAAAACAAAGCTACACAGAACCCCACTTGGTTTCTCCAGCCATAAGATAAAGGTAACTAGGAGCAAATTACCTTTTAATGTAAACAATAAAAAGGAAAGAGGGTCATTTAGAGGAAGCATTATAGAAGAAGAAGAAGAAGAAGAAGCATTTATGTTTGGATAAGTAAAGGCCTAGTATTCTAACACAACTGGGTTTTAATCTTGTGTTATTTTCTCTGCCCCACTAACCCATTTTGTCCTACAGATAATCTGTTTTCTGATTTTTGTGCTCATATAATCTTGTTTATCTTCAGTTTTCTGTTTCTGTAGAATCTTTCAAAGATCTTTCCCTGGCTACATATTATATAAAAGCATCCTGGCATTTTAATTGTTTACCTATGTTTATTTTACTTCATAGCAACAAATCACTGATTTTACTTCATAGCTACAAATCACTGATGTTTGTATAATCAGTTACTTATTTATTATCTTTCTATTTGTAGGTAGTAGACTCCATGAGGATAAGGGCTTAGATATGTTGCTCATTATGTCTATATTACATACATACTTGGTACTATAAATGCTCAACAGCTGTTTACGAAATGAGCAGAACAAATGAAAAGGTGAAAGACAATGGCAGGTCAAAAAATTAAGCCAGTATTTCAAGTTTGAGGAAATCAAAGGCCAATAGTGTTACTAAGAGATTACTGAAGGGTGGAGGAAGGGTTGATCTGAGGGAGTGGAAATAATGGAAGATAAATTTGTCTCATATATTCTGGCTTAAGTGTGTGAACCTATATTGTAAGGAAACCATGTAGAGAGGTCTGAGGTTTAGATGATAATATCAGGGTCATTCTCAGCATCAAGCCTTTTATCAGAGGATAAATAAAAGGTAGATAATAATAGTAAGGCAGGATTATCATATTGTAAAACAAAATTTTAATAACCAATTGTTAAATTCATGAAGTGACTTATATATCCTTTTTCATTCTTAGCTGGGTTAACAACTTTGGCCATGAAGGACTTGGACTTTTACTGGATGTGCTGGAAAAGCTTCTGGACAAAAAACAGTAAGAATAACTTTTATAAACATTTACACATGAGAAAAATTTGAGCACAATGTAATATTTTTTTCTTACTGACTTAGGCAAGAAAATATTGACAAGAAGAATCAATACAAACTCATTCAGTGCCTGAAAGCATTTATGAATAATAAGGTAAATGGTGTTTACTTATCCTTCTGTTGCAAAACGAGAGAGCTTGCTCGACAGTATGAAAGTAAAAAAGAGATAAAACGGTGGGTACTATTCAAGTTTTAATAATATGTTTATGATGTAAATCATCATGAATTTTCTATCAGTTGTAAACGTGTATTTTGCTACATACAATATTTACTGTCATATTTTGCAATTATGCCAACAATATTAGTTTAGGTCTCAGATCTGATACATTTTTCCTATAGTGATATAATGAAGTCTAATTTATTTGGAAAGATTTATTTATTATGTATGCATATTGCCAGATGAGTTGATGTGCAGCACATGCGTACAAGGTGCCCATTCAGGACAGAGGGAATCAGATCCCCTATTATTCCAGCTACAGGCTTGAGCTGCCTAATGTGGTTGCTGAGAATCAAACTTGGATTCTCTCTATGAGGAGTAGGTACTCTTAACTACTGAAGCATCTCTTAAACCCTAATAGTATGGAAATTTACATGTTATAAATTGAATATCATTTTCATACAGAGAAATAAGTTGTATTTTATTGAAAAGAAAAATGCAAGGGTAGGGATTTGGTTCATCTGGTTAGATAAGAGTTTCATTTCAATATCAGTGATTTAACATGTGTAAAAGCAATCTGTGGAAGACTGCTTGCATTTTTGTATACATAGAATATTGTTTGTATACATAGAATATTGTTTGTATACATAGAATATTGTTTGTGTTATACAATATTGTGGCGACCTACAGATAAAATAACGTTGACTAATTTCCTTAATCACATTAATTATATTTAGTTGATATTAATAATCTCAAAATACTTACTAGAAATAAGTAATTATAGCAATAACCAGGAACTTGCTAAATGTGAGCTATAGCTATTAATTATCAATGCAGTAATACTGTATATTTAAGTAATATACAAACACTTTCTTTGGTATATACAATTATACATCATTTTCTGTATCATATGCCCATGTTAAATCATCAAATAGAATTGTTGGTACAAGCAGTACATGGTTGCTAATGAACTCTTTCATCTCGTATACCTTTACTGCTTTTTCTGTAAGTTCATTATATCTTTACATTTAATTTTGGATGTGTATAATGCATCAGTACATGCATGGGAAGGCCAGAGTACAAATTAAGGGAGTCATCTCTCTCCTTTTACTGTGTTTGTCCCAGGGATCAAACTTTGGTTTTCAGACATTTTATCAAGCACCTTATCCCATGAGCTATCTTGCTCACCATCTGTAAGTTTCTTGTCAAAACACTCCTATCAGTACTGGTCGAGAATTTCTCTTCTGCTGAGCCTTTAGATACAACACATTATGGGATCAAATGCCTAACAACAATACACTTATTTAACTACTGCTTTCTCCATAGCTCAAGAAAGATCTCTTTCTGTGACTGAGAAAATTGTAACATAGAAAGAGAGGTTAGTGCTGGAAATCAGAGATGCAGATCACATTTCTAGTCTTAAGCAGACAGGGCCTTTGAAAAATAACTTAGCCTCTGGCTAATCAGTCTCCTCCTCTGTAAATTCAGCTATAGGAGCTTTTGTTCTACATCTTTATTGATTCATGTTGTCAAATATCATAGTTTTATAGGATAACAACTAATTATCATTAAAATACTGACTAAAGAATGTTACATTAGTTATTAGGATTTCCTATACAGCCCTTTTTCCTTAGTATAGACTCAGATATGGAAAGACTCTCTTTTTTAGGTGTTTGGCAGTTTTGAGGAACATGATTTCATTTAAATTATTCTAAATTAAGTGGGAGTTTTTGTGAAGCTATTTTTATGATTTGGATATATTTCCTTGCCACAAGAATAAATGAGTCTTTTAAATTATAGGCATGTGAAACTACACAAAACAGACATTCTGAATAGAAAGCACACAGTGATATATTCATTTTAAGTTGTACTATATTTTACAAATTATGGAAGGTAAATTTCATCTTAAATGATGTAAATGGCCCTTGATGTTGAGGTTACTTATATCAGAAACTCATAAAAATTGCATGTTCCCTTATTTATTAAAGCTTACAGTAAATTCATATTTAAGAAGTTTAGCCTGTCCCCCTTTTCTCTTAGAATTTAAATTAAGAACCTTAATGCTGTTCATATGTTTGATACTTAGCCAAATGTTCTCTTGTAATGTTTCCCAATGAAATGTAATGTTGCCATGGAACTAACTTGAAATGCATTGAGAAAACAGAAGTATACTTTGTGAGAAAACAGAAGTATACTTTGTGAGACATAGGTGAAAATAGTAGCATCTTAACACATTAATTTGTGATTTGAAAATCTACCTATTGACATTTGTATGGCATGTGCATTTACAATTGTGTTCATGCCTAGAAAACAAGCAAGACTGATTTTTTTTTTTTTTTTTTTTTTTTTTTTGCCTTTTTGACCGTGCTATGTCTCTGAGTCTATGTTGTATGTTACAAACTAAGAGAAATAATTTAAAAGGACAATGGAATAGGGAAAGTACATATGACATTTTTATTACTTTAACTAGTATAGAGGATACTTGAAGCACTTCAACATTTTCCTCTCTCATGTTTACTTTAAATTTCAAAGCAAATATATTGGAAAACTTAACCACAAATTCAACACAGTTTCAAGAACATCAAGACATTAAGGAATAGCTTTAGAAAAAAATGTAGGTTGTGTATGTTCTGTATGTTCTTGTTTGTTAGAGAAATATCAGTTCTGTAAGAAGTATGGTTTTTCCGCCTGCCACCTGGACTTGTCCCGCTGCCGCGCCAGCCCCAAATAATGCACAGAGACTCTGTATTTGATACAATGTTATTGGCCAGGTGCTAGTTTCTTATTGGCTAGCTCTGTTTTAATTATTAACCCATTTCCATGTATTTTCATGTGGTCTTCTTACCGGGGAAAGGGACCAGCATCTCGTCTCCCTAGTCTCTCCATCTTGGCTCCTCCTTCCTACTTCCTATTTCCTCCTTGTCTACTAGTCCCTCTTATCTTCCTTTCCTATTGGCCAACAGTGCTTTATTCATTAACCAGTATGAGAAACATATACAGAATGACATCTCCCATCACCTCCTCTTTTCTGTATAAATAAAAAAGGGTTTTAACCTTAACAAAGCAAAATATATCATATAACAGCTATCAAATAAGAATCACAGTTAACACTATTTAGTCCATTAACATTTAGCAAGATTTGAAGAAAATATTCCATCATCTATCCTGTCTTTGTGAGTCTAAAGTCTATGTGTAACTTATCTTTAATCCTAACTAAGGAAAACTAACTATAATATAATAATAATAATATATAAACTCTAGAAATGACAGAGACATCTCACTGCCTGGTCATCTGAAGTTCTTTTGTAATCTTCCATCTTTAGCCCATAGGCCATATGGGCATAAAGAGTCTGGCAGACTCTTTAGCAAAGCAGAAAACTTTAAACTGTCTTCTTGTATTGGCAGTTTGTCAGTCATTTTTCACTGTGTCCTGTAGACTGTCTGGCAAACTCTTTCATGAAGCAGGAACTCTGTATCAATGTCCATCTTGAATCAGCAATCACTTTTCTGTGGGTCCTGCATGTCCAGTTTATATAGCACAAAGTCAGACAGTCCAGACTAGAGCAGTATCTTGTCCACATGGTTAGTCTTGCCGTATTGGAGGCAAACTCCATAACGCGTTTCTTCAATGTCCATCTTCCTTTCTGATGCAGGTGGTGTTGTCAGGAGCAATTGTGCCTCATTGTCAATAAAAACCCTAAACCATTTTAAATGCCATATTCTGTAGGTCTTTGAAAGGTTTGAAGAATTTCTATCTATCTCAAATACATCTCTGCTTATCTAGAAAACCTAACATTATAAGTTTTGACTATTAATGGTAACTATCGATAAGCTGTACTAAATTATACATTACATTTCTAAATGAGCTATATAAACACAACACCTAAACAACAGGAGAAATATACGTATCATAAAATTGACCTTAAATTGTATCAATAAATGAAAATCCATTCCAAAACAAAGTATTCACATCTATATCACGGTTCCCATATTTCTTAGAAATATTTTCAAAAATTTATTGAGGAATAATGGAAATCATTTTTATTCATGCCCCTAAATTTCTAAAATATAGTCATTTCAAATAAAATAAAAAGTGAATAATTGCATTTGAGGAGAATTTACATAATTAGATACCTAACGACACTGGGAAGTTGGTTTTGTTTTGTTTTGTTTTGTTTTTTAAAAACTTTCTTTATTTTGGGTTTATTTTGAATAAAAATTATGTTGCATAGACATTTCCAATTATTTTTGTTTTTAGTTTGGACTGCAAAGGATTCTAGGAGATGAGAGGAGTCTTTTATTGTTGGCAAGAGCAATTGACCCCAAGCAGCCCAACATTATGACTGAAATAGTAAAAATACTGTCTGCTATTTGCATTGTTGGAGAAGAGAACATGTAAGTATTGACATGTTCTATTTATTGTGTTGAAAAATGGCATGGCAGAAATTAATGGTTTTCTTTTTCTTTTTGATAACTTGCATAAAATTCTAGTTCTTAGAATATTTTTGGTTGATAGCCTTATTTTGTTTGTATTGTACTTTTTTGGTTATTATATAATCCAGATTTGTTAAAGATTAATTTCAAATGAATAAATGGATTTTTGTCTTACTGAAGATAACATTAGTTAATTGGAAATGTGTTTAGAACATTGTTTTACAGGATACTCCCCCTACCTTCCCCCCCCAGAACACACACATGTACATGTGTTCCAGGCATCTTTAATTAAGTCAAGTATATCCTTTGTACCACTGTATCCTTGTAGTTTACTTTATCTTGAACGGTAACTTAATATGAAATGACTTACCCAATATAAAGAAAGAATAGTGGATATTTGTAGGTAAACGTTTAGAACAGAAACAAAAACAGCTCATAAAGAAAACATCAGCGTGTGAAGTAATAGATAAGTTAATTAGCTCCAGTTATGTGTTCCATAGCTGGGATATTTTAAAATCATTGTGTTATATATTACAAATATTTGGAAGTGTCTATTAAATGTATTGTGATGTGAAAATTTCAATGGTCTATGTAAATATCAAATGTTTAGAACAAAATAGAGAATGAGCTATGTTCATCTTATGAAATATTTCTCATTTCTATTTTCTCTTGTTTTTGTCTGCAGTCTAGACAAACTTTTAGGAGCCATCACTGCTGCAGCAGAAAGAAATAACAGAGAACGATTTTCACCAATTGTGGAAGGATTGGAAAACCATGAAGCCTTACAACTCCAGGTGGGGTCCTTTTATCATAAATCACTTGAGGTATATTTTGAATATCTGTGTTATAACAACTCCTCTTTAGCTGGAATTTCTGAAATTTAATGTAAATATACAATTATTTGTGTTATTCATAGTTTTCTTCATTTAATTTATTTAAAATTAAGAAAATTGCTTCTCCATTGTTACTAATATGGCATGCATTACAATAATCATTGGGAATTTGAAGCTTTAGCAATAATATGGGTCAAAGGGCAAAGAGTTCAGTCAGTACTATTTGACCCATTTAATAAAGCTATAGGCTCTTGTAGAAATACAATACAATAATCAGGTACGGTGTCATAGTGTCGTAGTCTTAACTGAGTCTGGAGGGTTACAAGGTTCTCACTGGCCTGGGTTACAATTAACCAAAAATAATTACAAAAGAGAGAATTCAGTGTATTTCTCTTTGTGACTGTTAAACAATCAGAAATCTGATTTACCAATGCAGAAGGGATTGAATTGTATCCCCTGTGTTAAGGACCCCGTGAAAACTCTGTAGACCCAGACTAAACATGCTTAATTCTAAAAAGACAAAATCCTTTGCTTTTAGTGATTTCAGGAAATGCCTCACTTTATTAAAGGATACCTTGGTCTTGACTGATTAGATGTCATGTTTATTGCTTGTATTTAGAGACAAGAGATGCTGACTGGCACATTTTATTTTGCGAATATGATTTGATTTAATTCTTGTAACAAATCAGCTTCCCAAGTATTATCGTTTTATCTAACAGGTGGCTAGGCAGAATGAGATCGCTTCTCTTGAATAAGTGGACATGGTATGGAAGAGTCAGAATTTGATATCAAAGTGTTCTTTGTTTTAGATAGTGTACATACTATTTGATACTCCATGAAATATCTTCTAAAAATTTATATCATTACTCAAAGAGACTTTGCTACTGTATTTAAATTTTCAGGTTATTTTTAGTGAGTATACATTTGAAAATTTTGTATTTGATGTGAAACAAACATAATTGCTTGTTCTTTTTTATTGTTTTATGAAGTATTGACATCTTTTCTGTTACAGTTGGAAATTGTGTTCAACAGATGGATTGGGCTCTCTAAAGAAGTGTTGTGAAACTGTACATAATGTTTCTTCAGAAATGTAAAGATCTTTGAAATGTGTTCTGCCTCAAATATATATATACATATATATATATATGTATATATATATATAATAGATATAACGTTGTTGGTCACTTGTTTTTTATCGACTAACTCTGTTTTAAGTATTAACGCATTTCTATTAATGTAAGTATTTCCATGTGGTCTCATGATACCGGAGAGTGGGCCCTGACCTCTGTTCTCTCCAGTCTATACATGCTGACTCCTCCTCACTACTTCCTCAAATCCTCCTTGTCTCCTAGTCCTGCCTATCTTGCTTTCCTATTGGCCAACAGTGCTTTATTCATTAACATGCATGAGAAACATATTGGTAAACTTTTATTGTGTTCTCTTATGCATTGGCTTTTTAAAATTGAGAATTTCCCCTTAGTATTTTACTTACACAGTTCTTCATATTATTAGTTTTAGTCTCAAATAAACTTTAACTTTCTAGGGAAAGCCTGAAATGTGCATTTTCAGATGTTTTCTCCAATGTTTTGTCCTTGTTGCTGTGTTGGCTGTGCATGCTTGACTAGATGGCTTTCTCTGCCAGACATGCATTACTTTCAATGTTTAATAGGACTCAAGTATTTTATTTAGTTTCAAAGTTTTCATTGCATTTGGAACAGTTTGCCATATATGGGACAAGTATATCTGCATAGTTAAAACTATTTAGATGATAATTCAGCCATAGTTCTATGTTATCTTAAGTTTGTTGATCAGGGAACTGAGTTGCATGGAGGCTACATGATCAGTCCTCTAAGAATCACAAAGCTGTTAAGGCTTAGAATGATGGTTTGAACTTAAACTTCTTGGTATATACATCCAAAATTATATTGTAATGTCCATTATAGTAACAATTCCATAAAAAGTACGTCATTGTAGAGTAGTATGCTCCAGTCAGTGAAACAGAACTGACATTCTGTGTTCTTCATGGCGCTGTACAGATTAAAATGACTAAGTAGCAATTGTTTAACAAGTAGCATATGGAAAAATTGTAGACATCTTGCTAAATATTCAAAAAATATTGAATACTGATTATGGATGCAAGCATATGCAAGCTACATTTTGAAACTTCCTATTTTAATGAGCTACAAAGTTTAGTAGTTTATTATATACAGAGCTAGTACTCTCCCAAGAATTGTGAAGTGGGTTTATTAGGCGTTTTTAATGTAAATGAGAAAATATCATGAAAAAGTTATAAAATACGTTCAGAATACTGAAATTAAAACAAAAGCCAAAATATGTTGTTTAAAAAATATAATTTGTGTTGTATTTTAACAGAATCACTTTTCAATTTTGGTGGTGTCCTGAGATCTCTTATTATAATGTCATTAAGTAATTCCGTTATAATACTCTACTAATTATATTTTAAACTAACAATTTATTATAGATGATTTCTAGCTCTGCTATGATAGGATTTTCATGACTTTCAGTAGTTTCAGGAACAGATCAGGGATAAATCACATCAATATATTTATTCTCTTCTTTGCCTTACATTCAGCTTAGTCACACTGTTCAGTGTGCTGCACTGTATTACCTGTAGTTTTACACTCGCTAGCCTCTCATCTGCCTTTTTGTCTTGTCACACTTATCTCTAACAGAATAATCTATAATTATTTCCTCTATTTTCTAAATTTCCTTTCTCAACTTAGCTTTCTCTTACAGTACTAAAAAGAAGTCTGTAATGGAGCCCTAATTTCAAAGCCAAAGATTTCTTCCAAATGGTGGCTTTGTCACCACTGATCAACATGTCCTCCTTGACAATTTTACTTCCCTTGCTTGTCTGGGCACCTCTCTTTCTGGGTTGTCTCTGACTACCCCTTTTTATTCTTTGTTTTTTAATGCATTTTTGCTCTTCTATTTTTGCAGGAACTCCCCCCCTTTTTTTCACTTGTTTTTTTCCTAATTATATTCTTACATGGATCTGCTTATATATTGATATATGTGTACACAACAGCAAGCGTGTGTGCTCATACATATTCATGTATATTTTTTTGATGCATGTTTTCTGTTCTTTCCCAACTTTAATATATAACTGTGTTCTAGCAAGTCTCCTCTTACATGGGAGGGTCATGTTTCCCTACCTATTAAAATTCATGTCTTTTGTACCTAGCAAGGTTTATTATTGGACTCACAGAAGTAACAAATTAAAAATATCACATATGAGTGCTATATCACATAACATTTCAAATAATTTGCATATGCTGTCTCATATAAATTATACATCAAATCTGATAATTATAGAAGTAGTATCTCTTGAAGTGATACTTGAAATTGGCCTCAAAAAATAAGAATTTCACTGATATTATGTTTTCTGATAAGGAGGCAGTATTATATTAGAATTGAGACAAGAATGGCTTATAGTGTGTAAGAATGGAGGCACCCACTATCTGCCAATTATTTTAGAAGTGAAAATAGAAGTTCATACACGCATATACTTGAACTTTATTTCTATGCAGTAATACAGGAAAAATCAAAGTAAATTTGCCATTAGTAATCTTTCAATAGGTAGAGAATGTAACCCTAATATCCAGTGAATGCACATTTTCCCAGGATACAATTAGGCAAAATGCTTCCATGTGTTTTCATGATTTCAGGAGTTGGGGAGAGAATTAATAATGAAATTTAGGTAAAAATAATCACATTGACCCTTCATTGAAATTATGAAATCTATCAAACCCGTTTTGTGAGAAAGAAAACTTGTTGGTCTTTAATTAAACCTTAACTTTGTTTTCTTGTGTTATCATATTGAGACTGAGCATCTCATTTCTATTCATGGCAGACTAAGGGCACAACTTTGAAGGTTTGGAGAGGGATTTTCCTAGACCCATATTTTAAGAACTTGAAGATGTGACCACACACAGCATGGCAGGAAAGGAGAGCTAAGTAGAAGTTTAGTAAGCTACTGAAACTAAGGTAATTGCCAGTGAGCTAAGTCCCAAACATATATATATATATCTACCACACACACACACACACACACACAGAGAGAGAGAGAGAGAGAGAGAGAGAGAGAGAGAGAGAGAGAGAGAGAGAGAGAGAGAGAAGTATACTACTGTGTAGACAAATTTGGACAATAGTGTTGCATTTTCATTGTAACAAGAAAAGTTCTGGCTTCAAGTATACCTTCACTTTTCAATCTGTTTCAAAGATGAGTAATTTTGTTTATTATTACAATTGTAGGAAAGTGTGATTGTCAGTGTATGAAAAGGAGCAGACTAAACGATATTGCATTGTCTTTCTAGCACTATTTGACTTTATTGATCAGGACTTTATAATGCCCTCTCTTTCACTTCCATGATACTAATCTCTCTCCTTTTATTTCTTGTATTTCTGTTTTACTTAAAGATTTTTATGTGTATGTACAGCCCTTATTTATCCTGAGTCCAAAAGCTCATTTTAAATTTTCAAATTTGGTTTTAAAAATAATAAATCCAATTGATTGGGTTCATAATGAAATTTTTGTATATACTTTACTTTTAGCCATTCTTTTCTGATACTCTATGCTTTCTCCATGCTTCTGTCTTATATTGATTTCCTTCTTCTTCCCTTAGTACCTCCAGTTTCATTTTCATGTCAAAAATATTCACCAACCTTCCTCTTAGGATATCTTTTTAAAAACTTAATTTATAAACAATCATTTTATGTATCAATACCCCAGTCCTTCTCCCCACGTACTTCCATGCCCCACACCAGACCTCCAGCCCACCCCCTACACACTTCCCAAGAATATTGAGGTCTTCCATGGGTAATCATCAAAGTTTGTCACATACTTTGGTGGAGGGCTGGAGTTCTCCATGTAGCTGCAGAAATGGTATGCCTGCATAGGCAATGGGTTCTCAAAGAACATTTATACACTAGGAATAAAT